GCCAAATCTTTGAATGGGCTGAAGTTTTGACCGTCTATTTCTTTCCAAGCACCCCACGGGCAAACAATAACATCAGCCTTTCTCTGTCGATATTCAGTTTGATGTTCTTTCATACGTGTCCTCTTCTCTTGGGCAAAAAAAAAAAAATAAATAAATAAATAAAAAAATAAATGAACCATATCAACAAATTTTACGATTTATTGTCAACATGGTCACGAGTTCCTCACGCCTGTCAACGGCAAATTTCGTTATTTAATATTTTACACACTGTGTAGGGAAGTCAGTGATATTCCTATTTAAGGGCTAGGTTTGACACAAGACGAAAAAAAAATATTCTGTGAGGACCATACTCATTTTTTCTGTCAACAAATTTTAAGTTAAAAGTAACGAAGCATTAGGCTACAAGAAGACATAGCAGCAAAACATGATTTCATTCCCCTTTTAATGAAATGCGCATTACTCTCTGGAATACAGGTTCGATTTCTGTTGGCAGTCATACATTCTGTAGGAGGCGTCATAGTCTCTAAGTTAATAAACAATAACTTCACCGTTAGAAAAGCAAAGATGTTTACAAAAACACGTATAGCCATTAAATATGGCTTAGTTTATAGCAGTGCTGGACAAATTATGGCTTTTAATCATTTCATTTCAAGCAAGGCAATAAAGCCACTAAAACGCAAGAGGGTTACTTAGTGTTAGGCAATATGAGAAAATATAATAAGAGAAAGGGCAAGAAAAGAACAAGAATTAAGAAGACAGAAGTTAACGATTGACATTGTATTTCAATTTTTGAAGATCAAAGGCAATAAAGCCACTAAGATGCAAAGGATTACTGAATGTTAGAGAATATGAGAAAAATTAATATTAAGGAGAGAGGACAATAAAAGAACAAGAATTAAGAAGACAGAAGGTAAGGATTGACATTGCATTTCTATTTTTGAAGATCAAAGGCAATAAAGCCACTAAGATGCAAGATGTTACTGAATGTTAGAGAATATGAGAAAAATTACTATTAAGAAGAGAGGACATTAAAGAACCAGAATCAAGAAGACAGAAGATAACGATTGACATTGCATTTCAATTTTTGAAGGTTAAAGACAATAAAGCCACTAAAATGCGAGGGGTAACTGAATGTTAGAGAATATGAGAAAATTACTATTAAGGAGAGAGAACAATATGCTAAAGAAAGGACATTAAGAAGACAGAAGATAATTATTGAGAGAGAAGAAATACCATATTTATTTTTAAGCTAAGTGTAACAAGAAGACATAGCAGCAAAACATGACTCCCCCCTATTAAAGAAATGCGCATTACTCTCTGGAATACGGGTTCTATTTCTGTCGGCAGTCATACATTCTGTAGGAGGTGTCATGGTTTATAGGTTAATAAACAATAACTTCACCGTTAGAAAAGCAAAGATGTTTACAAAAACACGTATAGCTATTAGATATTAGGTTTATAGCAGTGCTGGACAAACTATGGCTTTTAATCATTTCATTCCAAGCAAGGCAATAAAGCCACTAAGACGCAAAGGGGGGGGGGTTACTGAATTTAAGAAAGATCAAAGTTGACTGGAAAGCATGAGATGGATGGGAGAAGTACGAGAGAAGAAACTGTTAGCATAGAACTTACGGCTACATCTAGCCAGCTCAACTGTAAATGGATGAAATCTCGACTTCAATCGAGTAATAAATCTACACTTAATCTGAAAAAGTCTAGGTAACATAGCAAAGAGCGTTATTTAATTGGATATAAATACAAAATATAGCACAAGGCCAACATGCGTAATGGGGAAAAGAGGTTAGTCTTCTTCTATCTTATAATAAAATTTATCTAGCCTCAAAGACTGACGCAAACATACAACAATATTCCTTAAACCAAAACATAAGTGTGCCTGAGCGGGAATCTGCAATGTGGATTAGCGAGCCGCCCTGTTAAACTGGCAACCTCGAATACGAATGGCTGCGCCATTCTCTCTCTCTCTCTCTCTCTCTCTCTCTATATATATATATATATATATATATATATATATATATATATATTTATATCAGCTTAAGTCAATTTCCCACCACCGTACCTTTTATTTATAAGTCTACCATTCGTCATTGCTTTGAATATTGCTACCACATCTGGTCTGGTGCTTCTGATATATATTTAAAGATTCTTGATAAAATCCAAGGAAGGATCTGCAATGTTATTAGTCCTGACCTGACATCTCAGCTTCAGTCACTTTCACACCGCCGTACCTTTTATTTATAAGCCTACCATTCGTCCTTGCTTTGAATATTGCTACCACATCTGGTCTGGTGCTACTGATTCTTGATAAAATTCAAAGAAGAATCTGCAATGTTATCTGTCCTAACCTGGCATCTAGGATTCGGTCACTTCCCCACCGCCGTAACATAGCTTACTTTTTGGATTTAATCGAGAATCTCAAGATATACTGCAAGAGCACCAGCCCTGGTGTGGCAGCAATATTTAACGTACACCTGCAGCTTCAGTACACTTGGTACCCCTACGAATCCGTCTTTTGTATAAATATTTCAATGACAATTGTCCTCATGACAATTCCTATTTCGTGTTTCGGCTGCATGAATTTGAATGCACTCCTGAACAAGCCAGATATAACTAAAAATATTTTCCGATTCCTTGCTTCCTTGCCATCTACAAACTTCAAAAACTTAAATCCAACGCCAATCCAGTCCAATGCCAGATACTAGGCTGGCATGTCGGCCTCAACATTTCACTATCGCAACGGTTAAATATAACCGCCACTTCTACTCAAACAGCTTCTTCTCTCGTACTTCCTGTTTGTAGAACTCACTTCCCCTTGCTTGCTTCCCGGAGAACTATAATCTTCAAATATTCAAATGTAATGTCAATAAACATCTGATACATTGATCTTGTTCCCCGTCCCTCTCTGTGTCCTTTCCCCAAACACGCCTCTTTACTCTTGTTCTCAATCCTCCGTAACCCTTTGCGTGCTAGTCGCACTCTCGCCTTTCTTGGAGTGAATTGCTTTAAAAAAAAAGTGTGTCTCTGTTCTCTTGTATATTTGTGTGTGTATGCATATATCTCTTTTTTTTTTCCTTGGCCTATAGCCCGGTATCCGTGCGCCTGCTTGGTTTCACGATGTCCACTGATATGAGAAGGGAGAAATACATTGAATCAATAACTACCACAAAGAAAGCTGGTTCTCCACGTCGTCCATCTTTCAAATCTATAAATCAACCATCTGTCCTTGCATGGAATATCGCTGTCGTATATGGTCTGGTTTTCCCGCTGTAAGTCTCGAGGTCCTCGACAAAATCCAGGGACGGATATGCAATGTGATAGGTCCTGATCTGGCATCTAGTCTATAGTCCCTTTCTCACAGACGTGCCGTGGCTTCCCTCTGTCTCTTCTACAGGTATTTTCAAGGCAACTGTACCGACGAGCTACTTTCGCTGTAGAAATTTAAGCGAGCTACTAGGTTGGCATCTCGGTCCCACCTTTTCACTGTCGAAACGCTTAGATATAACTGCCTCTTCTACTCAAACAGCTTTTTCTCTCGCACTTGCTTCCCTGATAATTATTATCTCCAAATATTCAAATGTAATGTCAATCGACATGTGATACCTTGATCATGTTCCCAGCCATTCCCTATTTCTTTTCCCCAAACATGCTTTTTTAGTTTTGTTTTCAATCCTTTGTAACCCCTTTCGTGCTAGTAGCACTCCCGCCTTGCTTGGGGTGAATTCCTTAAAAAAAAAAAAAAATAAATAAAATCGCCATTTTTGACTTCCTGAAACATGGAACCGTGAATTTTCTTTCTGGAAATATTTTCATGGGAATTGTTCTGCTAATCACATCTATTTGTCATGTCGACTGCCTGAATTTAAGCGTGCTACTAGATTGTCAGTTAGGTCTCACCATTTTACTGCTGAAGTACATGCATATAACCGAAATTTATTTTCTCGCCTTTCAATTTCTTGTTTCCCTGCCTCCTACAATCTACAAAAAAAAGTTCAACGTCAATCGCTATATTTGTTGATCTGAAATTTAGGGAAGAGAGCCAGACAGAGCTCATCCCTCCCCAGGTCGTTTTGAATTCAGAGTTGTCGTTCTCCTAAACCAGTTGCCACCCAAGGCTATAAGACCTAGTCTGTCCTTCTATTTGCACATAGTTGGAACGGGTAGAAGAGATAGATTCATAACTTACTCAAAGGTAATGGATCAGTTATAAAAAATTCATCTTTTATTGTTGAACTAGCTAGATACAACAGTGAGTTATTTTCTTGCCAGTGGAAATGTCTTGCTGTTTCTTGCTTCCCCGCCACCTACAATCTTCAAAATTTTAAATGAAACGCAAATCGCCATTTTTTTGTCTTCCTGAAACCTGTTCTTTTATTGTCTTTTCCCTCACTGAGGTCTTCTCATTCTCTTTCACTCCCAGTAACCCCTTTGCGTTCTCATGGAATTTTCACCTTGCATAGGATGAAATGGAAAAAAAAAATCTAATATACACGACATATAATCGCTTTTCAAATACAAACCATGATTATCTATGACATGCAAAGATACGTACATATGTTAGGAATAATTTACGGGTTGCCAGTCATATTTACAGGCCGAAATATATCACCTGCAGTGAAATTCATAAAAGAAAGGTGACAGTTTGCTGGTTCTGGAGCAATTCGATCGGATATGATTGGGAAATCTCGCGAGAGAAGTACGGCAAAATGAGATTATGCGTTGATTCAGAAGCTGATATCGATGTTCCAAAAGATTGGAAGAGAGGCGGAAAAATACAGATGAGGCATAAATAGGACTCAAGAATTCAAGAAGAGGGACGTTTTCGTCTATCTGATAATAACACTGCGTCTCCCTCCATTCGTTTCTCAGTCAGTAGGTACATAATTAAACCCTACCAGTAACTAATAAATAATGGACTATTCAGTTATCCTTGCGTAGAAAGACGGAAAAGACATATAAGAGACGCTACTTGGTTTCAGTAAGACAAAGAGAAAGAAAGATAGAAAAAAAAGACAATGATTGATGAAGAAAGAAAGACTGCAAAGAAAGAAGGCACGTCGAATAGAAAGAAATAAAGACATAAAAATTGAAAGAAAGAATGAGAAGAAAGAATGAAAAGAAAGAAAGGGACAATGTCTTACTGAGGGAAGTAAAGCTGGAAAGAAAGAAGGTAAACCCGGGAGAAAGAGAGAAAAAGAGAAAGAAAGAGAGGAAGTAAAAAAAGAAAGAAAGAAAATGACTATGACATGCTGAAGAAAGAAAGGCTGGAAAGAAAAAAAGGCTTGTCGAATAGAAAGAAAGAAAGAAAGAGAGAGGGAGAGGGAGAGAGAGAGAAAGCAAGGAATGAAAAGTACGAAAGAAAGAAGGAAGGAAAGAAAGAAAGAAAGAAAGAAAAAGACAATGGATTGCTGAAGCAAGTAAGGCTGGAAGTAAAAAAGCAAGTTAAATAAGATGTACAGTTTTGTAGTGGGTATGTACTTGTTCTAACGTAACACTGCATAATATATATATATATATATATATATATATATATATATATATATATATATACAATATAAAAGGCTCAAACACTAATATTCCATGGTTATAATTTATTACATTGGAATATCCAATTCATTAGACCCACATATTCAAAAAGAAATCGGAAAATATAACTCCGGGTATAAAAACAAAATTTTAGTGTATATGTGTGTGAGTCGGAAACAAGTGTGAGAGGGAAATTTATGAAAGCTCTAGAGAGATGTGTAATAGCAGGAAGAAGAACAGGTAGGCCTAAAGGTGAAGGTGGGGATTAAAATTTAACAGAGAGAAGTTTTAAAGAGAGGAGTTAAATAACGGTTTAAATGAGTGAGATACAGATAAATATGAATTATTTTCAGATGCATAAATCACTACCGATTTGCTGACCTAAAATTAAAATGAAAAAAAACGACACCGGAAATGTGTAGATACATTTGTAGTGACACAACGCACAATAAAAAAACGATATGATCTATACTTAAAAATCCAGCCAATTCATACTGCCGATGTATATGTGAAAATTTTCCGTCTGCTTTGCATTACTAACTTTATGTATACAATAAAAGAGAATATGAGATAGAGAAAAAAAAGGAGGGTGCCGGGGGCAAACTGAAAACGAGGTCATTTAAACGAGAACTGATGTGTAATCAAGAATAATTAGACAAAGCAAGTAATATCACCCACAGGTTACAAATTTAACATAAACATATAACAAAATTTAAAGAATAAAGAATAATAACACCTTAGGCTACCATGGTTTTTACCGATAAGGTTTCTTCAGGCAGTAAAGGTTAATTGTATTTCCCCAATGCTTTGTTTATATATTTGAACTTTCTCAGCGGGGATTACATTTGAAGGGACGGGAGCCCGAAGCAAAAATGTGACGTTTACATTTGCCAAAGAGTCCTTCTTTTAACTCATATAAACCCTGAGGAGACAAAATTTTATTTCTCGAAAATTTTAATAAATCAAATAAGAGTGTGTGGGGCTAATATCTCATTAATAAAGGCCGTTAAAAGATTTTCTGATTTATATAACTTCCTTACATTTTCTTAATTTTAAGAATCAGAGCATATTCTTGGGATCTGGTGTTCCTGTTTTATAAAAAGAAATCAATGATTTAAATTCTCCAAGAAATTACGTTTTTTTTAACTAATATAAACATTAACTGCTACAAAATTTAATTTCTCGAAATTTCATAAAATTAAATAAGTGTGTGTATGCGTGGGGTGTAACTAATGTAAAATCAATATATTTTTTATAAAGATTTTCTAAAAAGCAAATTTTTAAAATAATTTAATTTATTTGTGAATAAGTCCTGGAAGTTTCATTAAAATCTGACAATTATTTGATTTTTTGCAAGGGTTTCCAAATAAATGTGTTTTCACTGCAAAAAAAAAAGACGCTAAAATTTTCGATGCTAATCTTTGCCCCAGCACTCATTGACATGACAAAAAAAAAATTAAATAAATTTCGAACGTTCTGAAATGAAAAAAAAAAAAAAAAAAAAAAATATATATATATATATATATATATATTAATCAAAAATCATTTGGTCTTTCTTCTTGATAAATACATTTTCTTTTGATGATAAATCTTTCTTTTTATTAAGTTTCAATCTTTTTTTTTAATCATAGTATGCTAATTTTCTATCGAATCAATGGAGATAACTATATATATATATATATATATATATATATATATATATATATATATATATATATATATATATATATATATATATATATATGTGTGTGTGTGTCTCTGTGTCAGTGTGTGTGTGTGTTAGCGTTTGTCTGATGAAAATAAAAATAACCTGTGATATTAAAATTACTTTTTTTCGTCTGCGACCGCGACAAATTAATAATCTCAGCTCGTCCGTTTACAAAAGAAATCAATCTCCGCCGGTGGGGAAAATAGAATACAGTCAAAGGTCAAATCTTTTTGCAGCGGAGTTTCCTGGTTGCATTTATATATATATATATATATATATATATATATATATATATATATATATATATATATATATATAAATTTTTTTTTCTTTTATCTGATGATATTTACTTTGTCTGATTTGCACATAAATAAAGATTTTCACTGTCGAAAGGTGAAAGTTCAAGCCGATCATTTCCAAAGTGTGCGACGACAAAGATTATGTAACAGAAGCACTTTACGCTCATCTGAACTCTGGTGGATACATTGATTTTTTTTACGGGTTATCAACCTTTTCTAGGTTATTTAAAGACCAAATACAGTAGTTGATTCTGTTATGCTGCCATAGAAGATTGCTATGCGACGATAACAGTCGCAAAATATTAGACACACATCGTAAATTCATAATAGAGTTTCTATGCCGCCGAACCACACAAAAGAACGAAATACTAACAAGAGAACTATATGCAACATATCTATCTATCTATCTATCTATCTATCTATCTATCTATCTATCTATCTATATATATATATGGACGCTTATCACGAATCCAAGAAAGACATCTGAATCACTACCACGCAAAATAAATCATTTTTATAATATGTTGAAATATCTATTCTTTGCTTGAAGAATGTCCCGAAACAAGAAATACGTGTGGCAGAATTAGGGAAAATAAGGTATAATATATATGTTAAAATAAAGAAAAATCCACATTTCAACCAATTTGCGGTTTATTTTCTTTTTAAAATATACACTTTACTCTCGCTTGAAGAACTATAACTTCTTCCCCCACCTATATATATATATATATATATATATATATATATATATATATATGTGTGTGTGTGTGTGTGTGTGTGTGTGTCTGTGTGCGTGTGAAAATATATAGAAAATAGGAAAGAACTTGTTAGGTAAATAATCCAAAGTTCTTTAGTATTTTTGTTATTATTTTTAAAAAAATAGTGCTCGATACAAAAGTAGAGCATAAATATAATTATTTATTTAAAAATATGATTCCAACAAGCTACATAAGAGTTCTCATGTTTCAAAACTTGAGCCGAAAACTTCAATATAATTATTTGAATTAAATTGAATTTAAGTACTAAGCTCTGTTCCATCTTCAAGTGAAATTTTTTTTGGAATAACTTATTTCTGAAATTATTTCTGAAATTTACGTGTTTTAATAGCATACTCATTATTGAAATCAAAATTTCCATGGTAACAGCCAGAGCGATTGTTTAAATAGGAAGGGGTGTTGCGTGTTAATAATTTGTATCAGTATAGCGTTACATTCATAGATGTGGAGTCAGGGTAAGGTGGGGGTGTCTAAATTTAAAACGGAAGATGTTTTCGCCTAGTCTGGTTTACGTGTCTATGGAGATTTATTTATGTTTTATTTTATTTCTTTCTGAAAGGGTTTTGGGTATATAAAAAAAAAACTGCCGTAACATTTGTTTTTTGACGACTTCATAAAGGGTTATCTTTTTTGTAGGGTATTTAAACTATTTATTAGGGCTATGGATTATAAAAATTATTTTATTGTATGTTTGTTTTTAAGCAAATTATTCAATGCAAAAATTTGATGATGTCGGCAATAAAATGTTAACTCATGTCTATTGTTTAATAGATTTATATATATATATATATATATATATATATATTCAGATATATATTGTTAAATATAGCAGACCACGAATGTCTATTATGTTTGATCATGAGCCGTTCTAAGCTTTATATAGTGGCTATTGCTTCGGGAGAATATAAAGCAAAAACTGTCCAACATTTGGAGATTTTTTATTAAGCTGTTCCTTAAACTAAGATTTAGGCTAACATGAGCCTTCATCAGAGTGGGTATATGGACATTAAAATATCAAAATGTTGGACAGTGTTTGTCTTTATTTTTTCCCGAAATTAAAGTCCTTATACGAAACTTAGAACGGCTCATGACCAAACATAATAATTCGTTGTTTAACAATATATGTTTGAATAATAATCTGTTGCTTCAATAAACTAAATATCTATCTCTCGAGTTTATTGGTAAAGGAAATATTACTGAGCCTATTGGTAAGCTTTATACTTAAGGCTTTTAGCCGGTTTTATACATGAGTCAGTATAGGTAACATCGGTTAGGTTTGTACTATATATACATCTTACTTATTATAAAACGCAGATTGTGTGTGTGTGTCTGTACGTTTATATATTGGATCGGATTTCCTACATTTTCAACCGATTTCAACAAAACTTCACAGGACTGAGTAAAATTACCTTGCGGTGGTTCTGAAAGCGCAAAAAATTGGAAAAACACAATTGGTTTGCACAAAATCAATTTGAAAACAGGATAAAACACGATTCTGTCGCCAGAATGAAAGGGAGACAACTCATATCGAGTTATACTTATTATAAAACCCAGGTTGTGTGTGTGTGTGTCCGTTTATATATGGGATCGGATTTCCTACATTTTTCAACCGATTTCAACAAAACGTCACTTTTTTCTTGGCAGGTAGTGTTTCTTATTGTCTTGCACACTTTTTCTTTATTTTTACATTCAGAATGCTTTAAAAATTCCATTTACAAGACAATTGTTTATAATAAAATTCTATTCAATCGGTAGACTCATAACGATTGAAAACAATGTTTTTGTTTGAGTTTGGGTTTGACCAATTCGTAAAAAAAAAAAAATAATAATTAAGACATGCGTGTCCGTCAACCTTAAACAATAATCTTTGTCAATTTTATTTTTCAGTTTTTATGATGGTCGATACTTGATCTATCTCTTACTGTTACATCCCCGGGCAAAGCCGGGCTCTCCTGGTAGTTAGTTTATAAGTAAACATTGGTTTGGAGTCCACAAGTATTCACTCTGAAGGTGGAATATTTTGTGTTTTCTGGAACCTCTACAGCACATGCAGCCAGGCTTCGTCGACAAGGAACTCCAAAAAAAAAAAAAACTTAAGATTAAAAAAAACAAAAAAAAACTTAAGATGAAAAAAAACAAAAACACAAAAACAGAATATACTTTTGTTTTAGCGTAGTTTCGTATCTGAATACATTCTTGGCCACAATTCTCTTTTAAGGTGAAATTACTTATTTGCCTGTTCAATACAATTAAATTTTTTTCAAGAATGTCATTATGGACTGCGCTTAATATTACGACCGAACGATGTCAGTCTTTAAAAGGGACTTGGCTTGCGAGCACACAACAGTGAATTTGTCGTCTAAATTTAATTGCAAATGGCGAATTTTGAAATCTATATTTTGTTTTTAATTTCACGCAACTCACGCATAAAATTGAATTTCGAGTTTGATTTCAGCGACGAGTCTTGCCAATATATTTAAAATATGCAAGAAAATACATTCGGTACTTTAAAAAGAATTCAATTTTGGTCTCGAAGAAGCTGTTGTTTGTAGGCAAGAAAAGAATTGCAATCGTGAAAATATGCATTTAAAATGGAGGAAGCGTACATTGACATGGATACAAGATTTTGGTTCAAGATATTTTCAGAGTGAGAAATATTCGGCAAAAAGAGGTTGCAGGAAGGACAGTAAATTGATACCTTTACCTGTCCAGTAATATGGTGAATTCCGAAGACATATTTGGACAAAAAAAAAAAAAAATGATTTCCTCAAACTTAGGAAAATATTGAGAAAGAAAAACTTCGTTAGAAAGAAAGGAGTTTTAAACTGACATGTAGTATCAATCCTCCTATATGTCAGTGAAAGTTGGACAATCTCAGAACAGATAAAAAAACAGAGTCGAGAGACAATATATATATATATATATATATATATATATATATATATATATATATATATATATATGTATATGTATGTGTGTGTGTGTATGCGTATTTGTATTTGTATATGTATATATATATATATGTATATGTATGTATGTATGAGTATATGCATGGGTGCATGTGTATGAGTGTATATGTTTGTGAAAAGTGTGTGTATATGGATATAGATGAATATGTGTATGTGTGGATATGTGAATATATTTTTATATTTTTATATTTTTATATATGTGTGTACACGTATGTATGTGTGTGTGTGGGTACACGCCTATGTGTATGTATATACATGTATATGTTATTGTGTGTATTCACATGTGTCTTTGAACATAGAAATATAGGTCCTTGCTGGATTAGACAATCGTTATATTTATCTTCATATATTTATATTTGATTTGTAACCTGTAGTCGATATTAATTTTGTCAAATTGTCTCAATTACAAAGCGGACCTTTAAGTAAACGCAATTTTACTTTCCTTCGTCCCATCTCTCTCCCCCACCTCCTCTTTCCCTTCCCCTCCCTCTTATTCTAGCATTAAATTGTCTATGGTGTATGTATGTCACCACGAAATGTATCTTTATGCATTAGACTTCCGTCGACATTCATTCTCTTCTCTTATTTAAAACCCTTCCCCCCACATCTCCTAAAATTCTCTCTGTTAAGGTTCAATCTCCCTCCTTCTCATATTTACACTTTCTCGAAATTCTGTTCTCACTTCCGGAGTGGTTTTTTTTTTGTTTTCATTTTGAATTTGTAGATCTGATAAATTGGATCGTATTTACGATTCCAATGGAATAAATTATGACCATGGAGTATTAGTGTTTAAGCCTTTTTTTATATATATTTTATATATATATATATATATATATATATATATATATATCAAATGAGAGAAAGAACAGATGCAGTCAAAATCCACTATTCGAAAAAAGTACTCAATACAAAGTCATCGTCGTCTCGAGAGGCTATGGAGTAGCGCTACGAGCCTGGGCGGGATAGGTGGAGAAGTAGGTCTGCCCGGACGTCTAGTTCTCCCTCTCGGCCATGCTAGCAGACTCCAAAGGAGAGGATAAACAAATTTTGGCACCAGCGCAGCTTCAGGAGTTGCCGGAAGGTAGAACAAAGTGCCGTCCATCCGCCTTAGGGTCTCCACTCCGGGTTTTGAATTCAGAGTTGTCCTTCTCCTAGACAAGTTGCCATCCAAGGCTATAGAACCCAGTCTGTCCTGATATTTACCCATAGAAGAAGAGGATTCACACCTTTCCCAATGGTATTAACACGTAAGTGAAAATAATAGATTCAAATGGAATTCGAACTCGGCTCTCCGATTCTTCAATCCAAGCCGCTACCCATTACTCACCGTACCTCCTATAATACAAAGTAGAGCAATATATTACTATTATTGTTATTATAAGAGATTATAATAAAAACGTGTTGAAATCGCTACACAAAAGCTTTCATGTTTCAATACTATGGTTGTCCTTCTTCAGGTGAAGAAGAAGTACAATCATATATATATATATATATATATATATATATATATATGCATGCGCGATGGATAAATTGGACACATGGTATATAAATTGGACACATGCAATATGAGCACTGGTAAAAACGTTTGCTGAAGACATTAGGTTTATAATATCCAGAAATTCATACACAGATGTCTTCAAGGGCACATAGCACAGTGGATAAAGGCGTTAGTTAGATCCAGTGACGGACCATAAAGTGTGTGAGTTCAGTACCCGGCTAAAGCAGTGGTGGACTTTCAGAGGGAAACTAACAGGATATAGCTGATAACTGATATCCATTAAACGTCTTCCCCATTGCGCGAAATAAAATTTTCGTTTCGACATTTCAACCATTTGATGAACAGTAGTCCGAATAATGTAAAAATATCCTGTATCTTAGTTGATTTATTGCCTTGCTTGGCAATATATCTATTGTCTACACGAAACTAGAAATAAAAAAAGACTTGATACTGGGTTCAGAAAGTACAATTCTTTTTAATCAATTAACCTTAAGCAAGGCAATAAAGCCACTGAGACGCAAGGTGTTACCGGGAGTGAAAGAAAAGGAAAAGACATTAGGACCCCAATCCTAAACAGTAAAGAATGGATACAAATCTATTCATGTGCAATAGTGTAGGAGTATAAACCGAACAATAGACAATAAAACACTATTCTGGTGATAGAACTAAAATTGTGGTGATAGAACTAAAATTGTGGTGATAGAACTAAAATGCCTAAAAAAAAAAAATTTGATTTTATCTGATTTAAAGTTTGATTTGAAACAAATATTATTTACTTTAAATTTAAAATATCGAAGAAATGCATTTTTTTAAGCTGATCTTTAAGCTGCTGACTTACTGACAGACCGAATGATTTTCTACGGAAACTCATTGAAGAAAAAGGCTCGTGTGCATTTTTTCTATAATTTTTAAGCACCCATTAACCTTAAAATATTGGGAAAATATTCTCCGTAATCTAATGTTACAAAAAACTTTAAAACACATTTTGTGTTTGATGATTTATATTAACCTTTTCCGTTAATGATTAGAAAATATAGTTTTTACTTAAAAATCTAAAAGGATGAAATTAAAACAGAATTTTAAAAGATATTTAAACGTTATAAATTATTCTAATTAAAATTTAAAAAATTGAAATGATTCTTGTAAAAATTCATTATCCATCGACATTTTTTTCTTAAGGCAAATAGTATCCTTAATCAATCTTATTTATAAAAGTAATTAATAACATCTCATAGTTGTATTGCATATTTAATTTTGCTATTCGGAGCAGATTTTCGGGAAATGAGTAGTAGTTCGAAAAGACAAAACCTGTTGATTTGCACATTCCAAAGAGTTCTGCTTTTTAAGTAAGAAAAAAGGTTCGGTTGAAACTTTAATTTCTTGAAATTTCATGAAATTAAGTAAGTTAGGGGTAACACATGTAAAAACAAAATTTTAACAAGATTTTGTAAAAGAAAATTAAAAATTGTTTCATTTTTGAATAAGTTCTGGATCTTTCATTAAAATTCGTGAATTATTTGATTTTTTTCAAGAATTTTCAAATCAATGTTTTTTCACCTGAAAAAAGTCGCTAAGACACTAATCATAAATATGGCGTCGACCACTAACGAAAAAAACAAAACAAAACAAAACAAAACAAAACAAAAAAAACAAGATTTTAACCAAAATTTCGAACTTGATAAAAAACATTAAAATCTAGTCAAAAATTTTTTGCTTTTCCTCTTAATAATATTTTGACGATAAACCTTTGTTTTTATTAAGTTTCGGGCCTTTTTCATCAGGCTATGCTGTTTTTTCAGA